CTAACCAAGCAGTGGTGGATTTTGAGGAATGCCCGCGGGAGATTAAAGCGGCTTGCATAGTGAGGTCGGAAGGCTTAGGTGATGGCATTCGCCTCAGCAAAACATTCGTCTGTCGCGTTCATATCGAATACCCTCCTAAATAATTTCCGGCGAGTCAAATTTCATTCTTACGCCATTCTGTTCTCTTTCTCAACTTCTTCATAGTCTGTGATTTCGACGCCATTCTTTTTCTGTTACGTTTATCCTGGGCCGTGCCAAAAATTGACTGCTATTTTAAATAGCATTTCATTTTCCAGAAGAAATCTTGCTGATTGTTCAGAAGGACTAGACTGAGCTATTAACTGGGGTGAATGGGTGGAATCGTTCCAAGCAAGCTCGACCGAGTGCCCTTTTGGAGATAACGCGGGGTACAAATGAGTTTGTAAAGTTTTCTTTGCCAATATGTAGCTTTATCCTATCTGGTTACTGGAGGGAGGAAGGTCGTACTGTCCCTCGAGGAAAATCTTTCCGGTTTTTGAGGCTTTTACTTTTTTCTGGTCTTTCCTGTTTGAAGTCTGTGGAACCCGCGCTCAGCTCGCCCGCAATTTTGGGGAAAGACTGGAAAGTCCTAAATTTTTCGGGAAACTGGGAGCAGGGGCAGGGTGTGGTGGGGTACTAGGAAAACTTGTAAAGAGGTGGTAGGTGGGATGGAGGATAGGGAAGAGAAGGTCGTGCGAGCGGGGAAACTGCATTTTGCAGAGATTTTCCTAATGGACGGACGTGCCCTGCTTGCTGTCGAGCAAGAGCTACCTTGGGATAACCACTAGGTCCTATGGAGCGAGAAAGGTGGTTATGTTCCGTTAGAACTAAGCACTGAGATTCCAGAAAGTTCTTCAGACCTAATGTGGTGTTGAAAAGGTCAAAAATAACAACTTTCTCTTACATCTCAACTGGGCCCTCCTAATTATTTTTACCGAAGGGGCAATTCCAACCCAATCACATAGACTATTGTTTAGAAAACTTCAGAGAAGTATAATTCTAAATAGCCAGTTTCGGTGATATATATGGTTGATGCGACGGGCGAGGCGGAGGTTTGAATGGCACATCTTAATTACTGTACGTGGTTCCGTGGAGCCGCGCGAATCAAGCCTTCTGCCTCTCGAGGACGATAAATTGGAACAAGATTCGTCTGGAAGGATAAGAACACTTACTTGGTCATCGGCTATTCTCTATTCAGGATCATAGGGGCTTACTGAATGCGACTCAGCTGTAAAATGCCCATTGCGGGGTACCAAGCTTCACTAGCGGTACTAATAACTTCCGAGAGTTTGTCTTTATGAATTTCTAGCTTAATTCGGAGGAATTGTACAACGTATTTCATTCAAAGTGCTGTCCATCGTTAGCTACGATGTTTCACCATTATTCAGGGGGTGGTTTACGGATTCTGTGCCTTTTGAGACGACTTTAGAATTTACCCATTTTTTTGTTTACCTCATGCGAAGTGGAGCTGAAGCTATTAATTCAGGCCTGAGTCGTTGACAAGAACAAATAGAGCACGTACTACACCGCGGAATCCTGAGCGGCGGTCATATTCGGTCGCTGGCAGGAGGGGTTCGTAACTGGCCAGAGAAATTTCCTTTCAAAGCTGAATTTTTCCGTCATGGAACCGGAGGGTGGAGGGGGGGGGTCGGGGTGGTGGTGTCGTATTTACGCGACGCTCTGACATGCTTGTGAGAGGGGGAGTTGCATACAACTCAAGAATTTCCCCTGCCCGCTCGCCGGCGGTTTTTTGATGGAAAACGGAAAAAAATGGAAAATTGATAAAATGTGGAAAACTGTAGGGGGTCGGCAGGATGGGAAAGACAGGGGGGGGGTTTCGTAACAGAAGATGAAACTTAGAAAAGGTCTTGGTCTGCAAAAACTTCCCTCAGCGACAGCACGTGCCCTGGGAACAAGTGGTAGCAAGAATGGGTGCGCTGGGACATCCCATCGGATCGCGTCGAAAGTTTCTTTGACAATTTTTGCAACATGTGGCCGTGTATTGTCGTGCTGATATGTCACATTGTCGTGCCCTTTGGGATATTTGAGGCGTTCAATCTCCAACGCTCGGCTCACTTGAATCAATTGTTGTTGCTAACAATACGCTGTGGTAGTTTTTGTAGATTGGAGTAACTCTTAGTAGATAACTCTGAGCTAATCTCACCAGATATACAGCATTGTCTCCAGTTTTTGGTTTGTCAGCTGTGGATGGGTGGGCCTATCGATGGTTTTTTTTGGATTGTAATAGTGGGTTCGCTCTCCGTCCCCCGTCACGATTCAGTGCAAAAACTCTTCCGCTTTTGCCTTTGGGGCAGCTGGTGACTCTTTGAGGAACGGCGTTAGACTCCTCTTGACTTTTTCTGAAAAATCCAACTTATTTTATCTTATTCATGGCATGGAGACTGTTCTAAATCGCTTGCTGAGTGACGTCCAAGATTTCAGGAAAGCTTCTCTTGAGTCTGGCATAGACCATGTTCCCATAACGTCTCAAAGCCGGCGTATTCAAAGGAACGGTCCGCGATCAGGTATAGAAGTTGGAAATATGGCGTCGGGAGGGTAGTGTGGTCCGCGACGAACAACCTTGTACCGGTTTGCGCGAAAAAATTGTAAGGGAGGGGCGCTATAGCGGAATATAGGTTCAGTGACGCCTCCCTTTTACAGTGACTCCGCCCTCAAGGCCTTCTTTAACGAAGCTAAGGACGAAAAAGCAGGAAAATCGACACACGTACGGTCGTAGAGTTCTTATCGGGGAATCAGCTGTACGGATGAGGGCGTAGTGCTGGCTGGGCACGTACAAACTGGGATCGCAATGGGGTTCTATTTGGGCAGTTGGCATGTTTTTTTCCGTTTTTTTTCTTTACTATTAAGTTACTCAGAACCTTGTCGTCTAAATGCGAGCTCCCTACTCCACTATCTGTGATGGCGAATAATCGCGGGCTTTGCCTTCAAACTTGACTGGTTTCCCTTGAGTTCTCTGGCGCTGGTGTCAAAGTCGTCACTTTTAAAACGCCGCAGCCAGCTTTTTTATGGTTTTTATTGATGAAGCATGTTCCCCATATGCTTCACACAGGAATCGATGTCCATCAACTGCGCTTTTCTCGGGGAAAAAAGACGTAAGGACAGCGCTTTTCACAAAATTTATTTTGTTATCATAAAGATTCGCATGAAGGGAAGTGTTTACGCTACGGATGATACGACGCTATTTTTTGTACCTCAATAAATATACCAGAACTGAACCTACGAATGCTCTTGGCAATATATATTCCCCTTCCCGAACCGGCTCCTTCACGGGTCAGCAGGCTTCGTTGGCTAACGCCGTTTGGACGCACGCAATTTTGGCAGCGAGCTCATTTTTAAAGTGCCCAGTTCACCAAATCCGCTAAAAACTTGTATATAGGGGTAATTTAACATCCTGATTACGAATATGACATTCATTTTTGCGCTGGCGCTAATGGATGACACTACGATTATCTGCGCTCTGCTAAGGCTGAGCCCAGGAGGTAATCGTAGTGTCCTCTCTTGGCGCCAGCGCCAAGAATGAGTGTCATACTCGTAATCAGGATGTTGAATTACCCCTATATACAAGTTTTTAGCGGATTTGGTGATCTTGGCACTTTATAAATGAGCTCGCTGCCAAAATTGCGTGCGTCCAAACGGCATTAGCCCTCGTCTGGGAGGATAAAAACACTGGCTTTCAGCCTTTCACATCAGCCTCACTGTATTTGAAGCCACTACGATTCCCAATGAGGGTGAAATACGAGGCACATCCCAAAAAGGGACTCGTAAAAAGGGACCCCAGGTTCTAGTCATTTGTCGTTCACCACCATATCGAGATAACTGACCTTTCACACTCGGCACCATGATTTTCGCTCGGATCCTTCAAGGGTTCACAGGTCAGCTCCTATAGAACTTCCTCAATGTCAATAATGCCCCCCCCCCTCTCGAGAGCGTTTTCTATGATAATCCCCCTCCCCCTCTCTATAGCGTCTTTCTATGAATCTCGGCATTGTATCGATAGCTGAGGTTCCTGATTCAGCTCCAGTCGAGTTTGATGAATCGGCCTTATTGGCCTGGGTCTCGGCGGGTCGCATTCTTCAGAGCTTTCCCATTGCTTCTCTGCTTCCAGAATCTGGAAAAGGCGATGTTGCCGACATGAGTCAATAAAGCTGATTTACCAACCTTGTGCGAACTCAAACGGTTACCTTATAACCATTGAAAACTATTCTACCGCGATATTCTCCGCGGTCTTTCCTCTTCTTTCATAAATATTGGTATTTTTTCAACAGTTTTATTGAAGCCAATATGTACTGCCTTCCGAGTCAAGCTTTTGATACATAAGATTCGTCCAGTAAAGTAAACAGAATGATACCCTTCTTGTAGCGGCGAAAAAAAGAACCACCTCGCGCATGAGTGCACTCCCTAATCCCCGGGATTACTCAGTGCGATGCGTTCTCCTAGGAAAAACATGTACGTTGAAGCCAGCACGAAATCTTGGCTCGTGGAGAGTAATCTCACTCAGTTCTGCCTTACCGAGCTCTTCCACAGTTTATCTCGAATTTCGTGAAAAAGTTTGCTGAGTGCTTGCTTCTAGGAGACAGCTCTTTGAGAAGATTGTTCCTTCTATTCTGATAGGAAGAACGGGCACACTCGCTCGTACAGCGTGCTGCCACTGGACATGTTTGACAGATTAACAATATGCCCTCAACCTCCCCCACCCGTGGCACAAAAGCCATCGAGCTGATTGGCAAGAGCGGTCTTGTTGGCGTAACGGGTTGCGCACTCACACGGTCAGCTCAGCGGGTTCGGGTCCCTCATGGGGTGTGTTTTTTGCCTATAACTCAGCATTTTTCTGATAACTCTCAACATGCGTCGTGAGGCTTACCCATGTGGTGACAGCTGTTAGGATCGTTTTTGAACCTTGAGAATTAAAAAAGGCCCCCTGGTACTGTCTCATTGTTGCTGTTGAGGTTCCAACAGCCGCGATGTTTTCGGACGCTGAAGATCGTCTGATGGTGGACCTCTTTCGAGGCTACAATTCCCTCGTGCAACCCGTACGGAACAAAACCGAACTGCCAATGATCATCAAGATTGCCATGCAACTCGTTTTGCTCATCAATGTGGTCAGTTCGATGCTTTGGTTTTATCCCCTTTCATCTCTTCAAAGGTTTCAGTCTGCTTTTTAGGATGAGAAAGAACAAGTGATGCACACAAACGTATGGCTTACTCTGGTAAGCTGAGTTTTCCAATTTTTTTTAGTATTAGAGACTTCTATTAGTCATGGAGATCATATTTAATGTGGTTCACTACTTTGTTCGTTTAAAATTTGGCTGTTGTTCGACTTTGGGAGAGGGGAGATTTGCACACTTACTAGTTCGTTTTGCTAGTTCCTGTCAAATTACACGTCACAGCTAGGTACCCTTGTAGACAGGGTACGCCATCGCGTTGTGATCATTTCCTGGAGAATACGAACTATATGTCCAATGCTTCCAAATAGAACCCCCTTCCTCTTCCCCAAGCTAGCTATTACATACTTTCCTAGATTTTGCCAACTTCCCACCATTTTTTCCCAGAAAATTTCCAGTTTTTCAACCAAGGATTTCGAAGAGCGGGGAGCAGGGCACAGCATTCGGAGTGGGGATTTTGTCGAGCTTTACGACGCCCCGTCCCCCCTTTTTCAACGGGCTGGTACGACCCCCCCCCCATGCCTCGTAGCGAGTGCTGACATGCTGATCTGCGTGGGTTGTAGGATTATACTCGGCGAAAAAGTTGTCGAGGGGGTATGTAGTAGGCATGCGACGTACATCGTACGGGCGTACATAGCGCTGTCAAACCGTTCTACGTAACGCGCGACTTATATTCGTCTCCAATTGAGAACGCAGAGACATAGAAATATGAACCTGTGGACAAGCTTTAGGAAGGACAACCCTATCCTACAACTAATGGTTCCCCTATCATACTCATTTGCCAGACGTAACCTCGCTTTCTGCTGTGTCGTAGTTTCATTTTCACTACATCAATTTATCATGAATTTGCAGAGAGGCGGAGTTACGGCACTCCACGGCGAGACACGGGAACGAGGCAGTGCTTCACTTATTTGCCACAGCTTTTCGCAGTAGTGACACCTGCACTTACGACCCCATCCCATGTACTACCCGCATGCAACATACGACCCCTTCGTCGCGCGTTCCGCGGAGCACTGACCCTGATCCTCCCACCCCTGCCTCCCTTCAGTCACGTTTGCACTTGATAGACATTTTGACCAGGAAACAACCACCATTAAGCACGCTATAACAACCAGGAGTCTCGGTTTGACTTGAGGAGTGCATCCTCTACTAGCAAAGGGTCTGGAGTAAAAGCGCCAGTGATTAAGCCAATTAAAAACAAGCTTGAAACAAAATTGAATCTTCACTATCTCCTTCGGCACAATCACAGCCATCTTATTTGCCTTTGCTTAATTACGATGCGAAGTATCCACAACCGTAAAATGAATCAGCACGTGGATAACGGTAGCGGGCAATGAGTACGGCAATGCACCGGGCGTGATTGGTGCGTATTGTAATATAATAAACATCTGCTGTCTAACGAAGCCGAGGAACACCCTTGAATACTTTCCGCGCCCGCACGCACTGTTTGAATCGGCGCCGAGGTGCCGGGGGAAGGGAATTCTGTGCAGGACCAACCGTGGGAAACAAATTTTCGGCAAGTAGGGTGTCTTTGAAGGACCATAACTTCCTCAAAAGCAGACCTATGGGAAGGGGAAAGCGTATTCGTGTAGAGGAAGGTTTGATCTTCCTAAAAGTGCTAAAATCTTCATGAAGGTCGCAAAAATCACAGAGAAATTGCCTTGGGGATTCGTTGGGGATTTTTTTTGGAAACAGGTTTGAATCAATATATTTTTTTTGTAACTCAATATTTCACAAATCTGAGAACGGATTCGAGTGTATGAAGACTTGCTCTTTCTAAAAACCTATTGAACTGTTTTGGAAGTCCTCGGGATTCATGAGATCTGGCGTTGGGGATTTGTTGGGGAGTACTACGAGCTCGTGAAAAACCCGTTTCCTGTGTACCGTTTCAAGTGAACGTGTTCGAATAACCAGGAACGCATGTAGAACGTATCCTGTGGTGGAGCAGGAGCAGAATATGGTTCCGTTCAGAGCTGATCACGCCAACTCTTGGATGCGCCGCGCACTGAGGTCCGCGCAGAAGTGATGGGATGGTGCAACTTGTGCATAATGTGTGTCCACGCGCGCAAATGTGTCTGTAGGATTCAGGGAGGTCCATGGCGAACCTGTGCACTTGTCTACAGTGTTTTCCCTTGCGGATGATGTAGCGTGTCCGTGTCGACGCCGCCAGATCTGTGCTCCGATAGTTGCTGATTCCGATAAAGGAGACCAAGTGCTGGAAAACGTCTGGTACGAACGATATGGTAGTCCTGGTCGTTTTGTCAGAAAAAAACAGGTTGGCTCAGCGCCAAGCGTGATCGCGGACACGCCCCATCATCCGCAGCAAACCAGAGTATGAGTTGTAGTGTTTAATCACTTACGAGATGTTGTCGACTTATTAATAATTCCAATTATTTCGGATTAGTTTGATGGATGAAAGTTTTGTACTCATTTTTTACATATCCGAGTTCTCTACGAAGCAAGTTCCGCTACACAGGATTCAGCACACTGACACCTTTGCGCTGCTCGATACTGGCTACCGCACTCATTACGACCCCCCTCTCCTGGCGGCCAAATACCGACGTCCCCCTATGGGATTCCCCCATCCAACTGCGTGCCCTGGCGGGGAGAGGTACAATGTATATACACAATGTGAAACAGGGAAATTTTCTCAGATTTTCCCCCAATTTTCCCGAAATTTCCCGAAAATTTTCTTGTTTTTCCCCCAAAATTTTGCTGTCGAGCGGGGGGGGGGAGAGGAAGGTCGTCAGGGTTTAACTATCATTTTCGACTATCGAAATAGTAGTAGCATAGATCTTCGGCAGTCTTTCTCCACAACGACCAAATACGACCCCCTCGCGGTCAAATACGACCCCCGTTGTGATCATCCAACGATGCCGTGCCCTGCTTGTAAACCCTTGTCAAGATTGAACGGAGCTACTGCTACTGCATAGCTTCTCAAGAGCTCACACTTTCCACAGGAGGCATCGGCAGCGATTGACGGGAACCAGCAAAATGCCTTCCCCAAGGCCCTCCCAAAAATCAGTAGATTATTTTTTCACGACTCATTACATTTTATTCTTTCAATTTCCCGCCCATGTAGGCTTCTTCTCAGGATGGAACTGTTTGTCCAAGCCGCTGCTTACATTTACCCGGGATTAAGTAACAGCCTGATGTCGTGCTGGGGCTTGATGGAAACCTTTCCTACAATGAGCACCCAATCTTCGCTCCTGTAGCACTTATCAATTGTTTCAGAGGTGGCGCGATTTTCAATTGCGTTGGGAACCGAAGGACTACGACGGAATCACTCAGATTCGTGTTGCGCCCGACAAAATCTGGTTGCCGGACATTGTTCTATTCAATAAGTGAGTTGACCCAGGGTTCTTGGTTGTTGTATTGATTGTTGTAGTTATTCATAAAAGGATAAAGTCTTCGCCGTTGATCAATCCCTTTGGATGCGGCACGCATTCTACTTCCATTCAGAATCGTAGTGGCTTATTGAATGCGATGTGGCCTATACAATGACTTGCGGGGCCAGCCGATGTACAAGTCAGTGTTTTATCCTCCCAGACGAATCTGGTACCAATTTACCGTCCCGGAGGGTAGAAGGCTTGGTTGGCCTGGGCGGGAGTCGACCCGGGATTCGAACCCGGGACCGCGCGAGTGGTAAGCGCGCCACTTGTCGCTGCACCACCTCATATGCTATCCTATCCCTAATACCAACATATCTGGGCCTTGGGTTGTTGACCCACCTGAACTAGGCAGTACGGTTCTTCTAAAGATCCGGCAATCAGAATGTTCTTGAAATGGGTAGGATATTGAACTAGTCGGGACAGCTTTCGGTGGCACGTGCTACCACTAAGTCTAGGACGAGCCTAGGAAATTCAGGGCGAAGTCAAATGAGGGTTAAACCTCAGCTGTAGCTGCAGATGTGGAGGTGATACTTCAATACATCCTGGGTGCAGTTTGTTATCTAGATCTGAAAATGGGAACCAATAGGATGGGTCTTGGATGTC